GTTTTTCTTGACTACCGCACTTCCTAGTGCTATTGACCTCAGTTTCCTGTACTCACTGGCCGTTCCCCCTCTCCCTTAGTCACACACCATATATGGCCTTAATCGCTCTCCACTGCTCCCATTGGTCCGTTCTCCCTAACCAACCCCCCCTGCCTACTTCGTATATAAGCAGCACCTTCCACATCCTATTACCACAGCTACTGCTCTCCGCAGCTATTCAACTGCTCTGAAGATGGAGGCGCTACGTTCCTCCGAAACGTCGGCCAAAACGAAGAATACACGGAGCCTAAACCCAGAAGACAACTTTCTTCATCTTATAAGGAGTTTATGCTGACATAATTTTCCATACATCAATGCTTCTATTTTAATTGACTACATCAGACACTCTGAAATACATAATAGTTTCTTAACAATGAAACATGACACAATGAAGTAGCTAAAACCTAAAGGCTTTTACATTATGTATATGCAATTTCTGTTACAGGCTTAATAAAATATTTCTGAAAAACATTAAATTCAGTGCAATGAGATTTCACGGTACTATAATGCGACTGTTAGGTTGGTACTATAGTTAACGTTCCTCGACTCTATGATAAAATTACAGCTACAGATCAGTTATAATTCAATGTACTCAATTTACTAAGTTGCAAGCTGCTCTATATGGATGATATACCTTTAGAAAGTAATAATGATGGCGGGCCATAGCCAGTGAGGTGGTAGATGAATAGCTTGAACCAGACAGTGTTCACTTCAGGCACAGCTGGACCTAAGTGCGGGGGCATACAACTGCTAATTGGCCGGATCTCTTTGCTGAGGGGTGCCATTGATACCAACAACCTATAGTAACATTTAATTTATTTCTTGTTTACTTAATAACATTAGAAGCAGCTCACACTACACAGTGTCTAGTGAGAGGATACTCAATAATGAACTGTATAGGACATGAAAGAAATCACTTGTAGTACTTTTAAGTTACTATCACAGCATTGAGCTGGTCATGGTAGCTGAGCAGTCTAAGGCATGTACTGTCTTTGCTCACTCAGAAGCCAGGATTGTGGCTTCGAATCCCACACAAGGCATGGATGTTGGGTATGTGTATGCATTTTTGTTTGTGTTATCCTGTGTTTAGGTAGAGGCCTTGTGACGAGCTGATCACTTGCCCAAGGAGTCCTTCCGTCTGTAAAAATGATCATGAAACTGAGAAATCAGTCCTGTGCTCCAAAGTGAGAGTAAGAGAGAAAAAATCACAGCATTTGTCTGGAGATAAAAACCACAAGAACCCTTAGCTGGGATAATCATGTCCCAACAGGGATTCAAACCATGCACCTTCCAAACATGAGTCAGAAGCATTACTGCTTGGGCCAATTTGCTTGATAAATCCATAATAAGTAAATACTAACAGGATATTGTTCACTCACATATAATTCTTGTTGAGTAGACGTGTGCACGTTGCAGGATCAAGTGACTGAAGACTTTCACATCGAATCAGATCGAGTGCAAGGTTAAGCTCTTCCCCCATTGCACGATTGTGACGCAGGAACAAAATTGTGGAACGGAGAATAAGTGCATGGTCAAAGTAACGCTGTGCCTCTCCCTCACTGTCTGCCGTAGATATCTTCTCCAGCTCAGCTAAGAAACTGTCTAGAGATTCATCAGATAGCTTTCCCACCTCAAACATGGTTACAGCATGATTCTTCAATCCCTGAAGACACAAATCAGAATAACGTCTGTTCATAATGGGTACAAATCTCGTCTTTGGAAGCAGTATACAGCACTAACACTGAAGCAGTTTGGTGGATGGTTCTTAGCCATTGAGTAGCAATGACTGTCATATAGCAAGAGTTAACATATTCTGCTTCAGTCAGTCTTTGATACTTGTATCATCCAATTCTTCAGTGGCTTATCAACTACTTTGAAGAAAAGAAAGCATTTCAGATATAAGTTTCATTTTCAGGATATTTCAGTCTATGTTTTAAAAAAGTTCTAAGACCCAAGCATCAGGTTTTTCATAAATAATCTACTTTGTACATGATTAAAGTACTTTCCTGGACCACCTGGGAACTAAATAATTTCTATCGAAAACTCTACCTCAGAGTTTGAGTAGTGTGACTCAAATATAAGTAATAAGCGACCTCAAATTTTCAAACTTTTATATAATGTTAAGAACCTGAAATCTTTTCTCTTTTTTGTGTTTAAGTGTGTCCTGAATTTTTAAATTGCTCAAAATCCCTGAAAAAAATATATATATATTGTGACATGTTGCGCAACGGAGGACACCCACCTCCCCAGCGGTACGTGGCAGTAACGTAGTGCTAGCGTTACTATGGTAATAGGAAAGTCCCCGCCCCGCCACTCTCCCCACGGTGATGTAACGTACAACGCACGGTGATGCAACATGGTGACGCAGCACCACTTCCTACTGTGACGTGGTACGTAACAGGCACACACAGCCCCTATATAAGAGAGCTGCGCTGCCTGCGGAGTCAGTTGTAACGTAGCAGTCGCCAAGTTAAGTAGTAGTCGAGTCAGTGTGTTATCACCAGTTCTCAAGGCAGCAGCCTACGAGTGTGTTATCAACAGTTCTCAAGGCAGCAGCCTGCAAGTCGAGTTGAAATACAGCAGCCGTCGCGGAAAGAAATACCGGACGTGTGTGTAACTGAGAATTAATTGGGAATGTGATACAGTTGGACTTATATAGCTCCCATACTGTGAAAACGTGAAGACTTTGGTTGTAGGGTTTGTGAAGTGTGGAAACCCACAACTGTGTTACAATTAATTGTAGCCGTGATTTGTAGGTTGTTAAATAAACCAATTAACGATCTCTACGGCATATTCTGTAATGAAACACGTTACAATATATTATTTTATAAACAAATTACAGCAAATAATAAACAGGAAAAGTAATCAGAATACAAAAAGGAAAAAAAAATATTAAAAATTCTTTTTTAAAACATAAGAACAATAGACTAACAAAAGTAATAAATAATATTTACAGGAGACAAGTTTCCCATCATGAGAAATGCTGTAAGAGTTGAGTCAAACAGGAAAGCTATTCGCCTACTACGTGGTTGGCTGGATAAGAAGGCAGGCTCCACTTCTTCTGCACCACTTGAAGTTTCCTCAGGTGGTGTCAGTCCAGCATCAGCCAATGCCGAGTTCAGCTCCAGCAACAATGGTTCCTCTGTTGTAGACATCGCTCTACTGTCCACACAACAATTCATTAAATGAATTTTGGCGTTTATTGCCTTCTCAGTAAAACAAGAAATAATATTTAAACATCGAGGAAGAGCAGAAACTCCAGTTGATATTTCTCAGGAGGGTGGTATTAAGTTAAGGAAAATCTGAACAAATTCCCAGGTAGTGTATCCAAAGGTTCAACACTGTTAACAATAAATCCTATCAATGGACATGTTCCTGAGCCAGTTGAATCTGGTTCACATGATCTACTTCACTAAGAACCACTTTAATACTACCCTCTCACATCCTTTTTGATCTTTCAAGTAACTAATTCCCCCACACAATTCATTCCTTAAAAAAAATTAATTTAACAATGTGGTGGAAAAGGGGAAAATCTCTACCACTGCTGGGAACTGAATCCTGATCACTGTTCAATAATTTCAAATGCAGACTTCGCATATAAAATTGTTCCAATATATTTAAATTTGTTTTTAGGAGAAATCATTATGACGAATAAACATGACTTCCCAATTATAGTCCCATGTTACAAACTGCGAGTATAAAAATGTGCACAATAATGGAAAAGAAATACACTTCACGAAAATTAAGCTGGCTCCATTGAACACAAACATGAGAATAAAGAGCTGTGTGAGAGCTGTAGTGAATTCAGCAATATGAACACACTAAGTAACAACAGAGACCTTTGCTTCAGACAGTATCAACCACATACAGTAACATTTTTAATGTACAGGGCTACTATAAAAGATTCATTCGTTTTTAAAACGCTATATTTTCCAAAGCATTATACGTAAAAACATGACTGATATATAAAAAGAACCGTAAACTCACCAAGTTTTCTTCACCCTTTATAAATGTTCTATGTGTGCTCCTTGGTTCACACGACACATGTCCAGGTGGTAATTGAGCTCATTCCACACATTTTGTAGCATCATCCTGTCAATGGTCATCACTGCAGCATCGACGCGTTCCCTCGGCTCTACTAGTGGGGGTACATAAACACGATCCTTAATGTACCCCCAAAGGAAGAAGTCACAAGGCGTTAGATCAGGTGATCTGGGGGGGCAAAGTGAACAGAGCTACATCCTCCTCACCAATACGCCCAATCCAGCGACGCCGAAGTTCATTGTTTAGGTAGCGACGAACATTGATGTTCCAATGAGGGGGTGCCCCGTCTTTTTGGAAGACAAAATCCCCGGAATCAGCAGCCAGTTGTGGAAACAACCATAACTGCAACATATCTAGGTAAGATGTACCAGTCACAGTTTTCTCACAAAAGAAAAACGGCCCATACAGCTTTGTCTGTGACATTGCACAGAAAACATTCAGCTTTGGTGAATCTCTTTCAAGTGCTACAATTGCACGAGGATTTTCAGTGCCCCACAATCTCACATTGTGACGATTAACCTTCCCGGATAAATGGAATGTTGCTTCATCACTGAATATCAACTTGGCGGCAAAATCTTCATCCTCCAATGCTTCCTGCATTGTGATGCAAAATTCCAGGCACCAGCCATAATCATCTGGTCTTAATTGTTACAGGAGCTGCAGACGGTACGGTTTGAAATGTAACCATCATCGCAAAATCTTCCATATAGTTTGCTGCATTAGTCCAAGTTCGCGGCTTGCTCGGACCGTTGATTTTTGTGGACTATGCACAAAATTTTCCCTCACTCTCTCCACTGTTTCATCTGGCACATCTGATCGACCGGTGCTTTTCCGTTTACACAGACAATCAGTGTCCTTAAATTGCTGATACCACCGCAAAATGCTTTGTTTACATGGCGGTTCTTTTCCGTACTCTTTTGAATGCGCGTTGCACTGCTATAACGGACGAACATCTCGCATATTCCAACAAATAAAAACTCTTATCTTGCTTTGTCACCATTTTGTAAAGGCACTGAACTCATGCTGCCAACTGGTGCATACAATACAAACTTGGTGAGTTTACGGTTCTTTTTATATATCAATCATATTTGTATGTGTACTATTTTGGAAAATATAGCATTTTAAAAACGAATGAATCATTTATAGTAGCCCTGTATTTTCTATACTGGGCTAAAATGTAGCTACATTTCTTCTATAAGAAGGCAGATAGTTTGCTTGTGCCATAGCTCAAGCAGTTAGTTGCTGGCTTCCCACCACAGCGGCCCAGGTTCGATCCCGGGTCCGGGCAAGTGGGATTTGTGGTGGACAAAGTGGCGCTGGGGTGAGTTTTCTCAGAGTACTTCGGTTTCCCCTGCCAATCTTCATTCCACCAACTTCTCCATCATCATAATCACCCAGGGCAGGCTACAATAGGCCAATCAGTGGCCACTGTGCCAAGTGGACCCAGTAGGACTCCACTCCCCACTAAGCGATTTTTTTTTTTTAATTTTTTAGAGTTTGCTTCTTCACATGAAGCTTTCCACTTCCTTTCATAATACCCTCCTTTTTAGATTATCAGATCCCTACTTATTCATTAATGATTTCCCTTGTCTTGTTGTTTCATTACCATTTTAATTTAACGCATATAATTAGTCTAGAGCTGAGCGGCCTCCATAGTCTAGAGGTAACGTTTCCACCTCATGACTCGTAGTACGCGGGTTCAAATACCCAGTGGAGGTCGTCGAATTTTTAAGGACGGAAAAATTCAGGGAACAAGTCCTCTGGGAGGGACTTTAAGCCGTGGGTCCCATGTCGTAGCTTTACGGCACGTAAAAGAACCTCATATCTCCTAAGGTCACTGAGCCAAATTCAAGGACGTTTCCCGCCCAACAGTAGTCTCTAATGCCTCTGATACATGGGGGAAGCATTATAGATACCACCAAGCCAGTAGAGGCCGAACTCACTGGCTCGGTCGGGACTGATGGTAAGCACCAGTATCGGTAGGGTATAGAGACTGGTAGAATATCATAGAGGAAAGCACAATAGATCAAACTGGTCACAGTGCATGGGGAACCCACCCTCTCCAATAACTAACTAACTAACTAACTAGTCTAGAGTGGAGAAGTTCATGGAGGTAGGCCTGGGCCCACTGGGGCCGTAGTACCAAGGAAAAAACAAGAAAAAAAAAAGTCTAGAATGCCCTAAAGTTGTAAAGAATGCTCACTTATGTTGCAACACTGTCACATGTTTGGGGTTTGTGTGACTATAAATGAGATATGTGTACCACTGGTACACACGACTCAGAATTTTACACTTTCTTACTAAGTACCATACTTCTCACATGAACCCAGAAGCCAAACTACTAACGTGACGTAAGAAAACCCACTATATGAAGCCGATGATGAGATTAGAAGACTGGTTCCAAAATAATACCACGAACTGACCACCTACTTAATTTGTAGTGAGTACTGTACTTCAGTGGGACATACACTGCCTGCATGACACAGCTATATGTAGCAGTACACTTACTTCCTTGCTGGAGCCAATACATTCTTCCATGTGGGATTAAGGTCTGCATATTCAGAATCATGATTCTTTTTGCGAGCAAAACCAAGTCGGCAGTATAAGGACACTGCATTCTTTACAGCCTGAGCATCAATCTGAAGGACATTAGCCAACTGCAAACAAATATCAACAGGAAAAAGGTTAAAAACACACCTGATCAACAATACCTAACCTCAACAGTATTAGGTAAAGAGCCAATTGATATTTCAATATGAAAAAGGTTAAAAACATTCTTAATAAACAATACCTAACCAAAATAAGTTGAAAAATTTGGGAAGGACAGTTACATTTATACTACTTGTAATATTAGGCATTAATTTTGCCTTTTTTCATTTCAGTATTTGACATAACATTTTCTCAGAATTGTCTTCTGCTCTCAGTGAAATGTGTATTCAAGAGATAACAGGTTCAGATCTCAACCCACAGGCCACAAACTTGACAGGGTTTCTTGATTTTTCTCAGTCCCTTCAAGATAATTCATGGATATTATCTTAAAATAGGCCATTACTGCCCCTTGACACCCTTTCCAATTCATCATTTAGAGTCATTCTAACATCTGACACAGCATGATCTCTGCATTTTGTAAAACAAAACTAAATCAATTCTAAGTATATGATGATGATAGGTGGACATAATCGCATTGTGATATACTCTTTGGTCTGTAAAACAGCTGTTTTCCTTAAATCTTTCTTGGATGCCTTGATAATGTTCCCAATAGAAAGCTGTAGGACTTGGCATTTATGGGACTGGGCACTAGACAACAATGAGGGAAGTTCCTTTGCTTCATTTGGCTTTGCAATCTCTGTATATGAAAGCTTCCCCAACAAAAAACTGTAATAGTAGTTCTGGAATTGACTGCCAATCAGCAGTGAAAGAGGTATATATGCCTTTTTTTTCCCTTAATGCTAGTGGGGTGGGACTAAGTCCCTTGTACTGTGGCCACTTCTGGCCTATTGTACCAGCCCCAGATGATAGGTGAGGGTGATTGTGGAGCAATTGGTGGAATGAAGATTGGCAGGGCAAACCGAAGTACTTGGGGAAAACCTGCCCCAGTGCCACTTTGTCCACCACAAATCCCACTTGACCAGACTTGGGATCAAACCTGGGCTGCCACGGTGTGAAGCCAGCGGCTAACGGCTTGAGCTATGGCGCGGTACATATGCCTTACTGGACAGTGTAGGCTTGACTTTTATAAAAAACAAATTTTGGTGATGGGTTATGTGCATATTTAGTGAGATTATGATTTAAATTTTTAGTGTATGTAAGAGTGGATCAGTGGAGGAATTAGCTGTGAAAACTGTAGTTAGAGGTGGAAACTGTAGATTGCAACAGCATATTGTTATTCTGTAAAGTTTGGTATTTTACGAGTATAAGGTCTGTCTGATTTAATTCATTTAATGAAACCCTCTCAACTGCAGAGGATATATAATATCACATAAGAACACTGATATTGCATATTTTGAGGTATGACACCTGAGTAGACTGAGAAAATGCATAAAAAATCTCAGACATAAAAGCTGGTCTTTAATAATCAACTCTGGGACCTTCATTGCTGTGAGTGTTGAGCATGCAGTTATAACATGACAGAATTATAGATTTCAACAAAACTCACCTCTCCCACAGAAGTGTGTTCATCAATGGACACAAAAATCTTGTACAGCAATGTCTCAAAGTAGTCACCTAACACCCGATTCATAACAAAACCTTCTAACGGTGGCAGTACTATATAGTTATCTTCCTCTATTGGTACATCCAAGTAGATCAGACCTTTCCTGTAATAAAATCGACAGCCTTAACTGACAGAAATAGAGCTGCCCATAAAATAAACAAGATGACACTCACAAAATGTGTCACCGTTATTTCACCATTTCACTGTAGTCAGCCACGACAAGCCTCATATCACGAGGCTTGCCCCAGCTAAAGCAAAAGGGATAATCCTTCTATCACGCAAAGTGTTATTTTAATATATCACTTTGCAACAAATATCTTAAGTTGTTATCTTTCACCCAATTCTACCATTAGGAAGCACCTTCAGGAATGCCAGGTATCTACTCACCCTTGCTAACCTATACCCTAATGTATGGATACAAAACTAGTGGGAAATTAATGTGCAACAAAAACAATTTTGAGGCTAATTATTGGAGAACATGATTCAACTTGCTTAAAATAGTTACAATAGACAGGTCCCAATATAAATCTGCCTGAGGGAGATTAATGGAGATTACTCAGTTCATGTTCAACCAAATGACCATTTTTCACAACACTATGACCAAGGACACATTACCTTTATTTTTTGCATTCTCTTGCAAACATTGTTTTTAAGGTATTTCAGTGGCTGTCAACAAAGCAAATAATAAATACGACTGCAATACAACNGTTTTCTATTGTGTTACGTGTGCGGAATGCTACTTTTATCTGTGTGTCTTTAAAAAGTTTTGTAATTTTTCTTACTTCTTTTGTACTATATGTAAATATGGCCCACTTTGTTTTTGGTTGTTGTTCGTCGTCATTTGTGTTTGATTTTTGTTCTCGTTTTGTCTGATTCGATCTTTTGATTATGTTAGTGTCGTATCCGTTGTTATGTAGTATGTTTTTAATAGTGTTCTTCTCTATTTGTTTTCCTTTTTCTGTTATTGGGTATGTGTGGAGTCTATTCATTAAGTAATTAATACCTGACAATTTGTGCTCGAATGGATGGCACGAGCTGTTAGGTATTATGATGTCTGTTTGTGTGGGTTTTCTATATATTTCGTTTATCAGTTGTTGTGTTGATGGCTACTGAAAACCCTTAAAAAAGGATACTACATCAAATGCATCAGAACATATCTCTCCTCTCTCCCTCTCCCCCCTCTCTCCCTCCCCCCCTCTCTCTATTTGTATCTACAGTTACTGAAGAACCATTTGAGGAACAAAGATTTCAGCAGCAAACTGTGTCATTCTACAGGAAATGCATCCAGCTCTTGGTGATTCAATGGATGCGTGTCTCAATGGTTATAGTGACTACATGACTGGACCACACAGATCTCTGGGAATCACCCTTAAACAGGTTTCTGCTGAACCTCCCTTATACATATACTGTCTTCGATTTGTATAGCCTGTCATACAAATAGATACAAATAGACACCCAGTTATTACTGCTGTAAAACACACACACACATGCACAAAAATACTCACTTGTATAAACTGTGAACTAAGTTGTAATCCAAATCACCAGCTTTCTGACATCCATGATCAATAATTCTGTCAATTAATTCTTTTTCCGACTGAGAAATCAACTGAAAAGTAAAAGTAAAGAAAAAACTTTATTCCTGTTTGCAAAACCAGGTCAAGGACAGGATGAACATGAACTAGTTACATTCACCCAGTGCCTAGGCAAAGAACATCCAAAGCTGTATGACCTTCATGGTATGCTCCTTATCCAAAGGGACATTTCTACACCAAATTCCACTTCTGAGATTTCATCAGGGTAGGATTCATTCCTTATTATTTTGCATATTAATTCATATATTTTGATCCCATAGATTTAAGCACTAAACTACACAAGGTCTCAATTACAGAGAATTTAAGAATGGAATCAAAGAAACTGAACACTATGTAATAGTAAATCATAATGGAGAAACATTACATAAAATTTCATTATATAGGGCATGAAGGGATAGTTGCTCATAATGATTATTTCATTGAGGGCCTTGATAAAATCTCAATCAGAAAAGACTACCATGTATAAGACCTAAAATGGATATCCCATGAATACAAGTCAAATATGCTACTTTTGAACTACGTCACTTGATTTTGAACTAGGATGGTAATATACAAAAATATGCAAACCAAAGTAAGATAATTTTGTTACAAAGCTACAAATGGAAGGATTAAAATGCTGAATGCTCACAATTATCTAAATAAGGAGAAACAATAAATATATATGAGAAATAGATGGCAAAATACATGAACAAAAAACAAATGATTCTCATAATGTTATAATAAAAATATTCATTGAAATTTGATATAATCATAATATACTATAAACACCTTGATATCTTCCTCAATCACACACCCCACTTCAACATTCCACCAAGGTTCTATGTTAATTTCTGCTGGCTTTGGTGGAAGGAGGTCTTTCACATTCTTCCGTCGGAATAGCTTGCGACCAGAGCGGCAATGATTCATCAAGTCTATGTATTCATTGCGACCAATACCCAATAGCCTCAGACCTGAGAACCACAAAATTGAAACTTTATTTAAGTGTTAACATGATTTCATATTTTATATCATTAACTGGCTGTCTTTGTGTTAATAAACAGCAGCATTAAAGGGAAACAACTGGTAACATATCATTTTATGTCAATGTTAATGAACTGGCTCAAATTGAACCATTTTCAATATCAAGAATTTCAAACTAGCTCATTCACTTCTTGACCGCCTCTGTGGTCTAGTGGTCAGAGTTCCTGGCTACAGATCCATAGGTCCCAGCTTCGATCCCTGGCACTACCAGATTTTCAGAGAAGTAGTGGGTCTGGAACGGGGTCAACTCAGCCTTGTGAGGATAACTGAGGAACTATTTCAAGGAAATAGTGGCTCTGGTCTAGAAAACCGAGATTAACAGCCATGAGGATCTGTTACGCTGACCACGTGACACCCTCTATCCACTAAAGTTGGCACTAACTTCACCGACAAGAGGCGGTTGCTCAGTCAATTTAGTTCACTTGCAGACTACAGGCCACAGAGTTTTTTTGCTTCATCCACTTCTTGGAGTGCAAATTTTCATAACCTCAAAATTCCCATAAATTTCTGTATCTAGAGTTTTAGTTTAGTACTCTGTTGACTGAGGGCAGGTCAAGTACNTCTGGTGGTCAGAGTTCCTGGCTACAGATCCATAGGTCCCAGCTTCGATTCCTGGCACTACCAGATTTTCAGAGAAGTAGTGGGTCTGGAACGGGGTCAACTCAGCCTTGTGAGGATAACTGAGGAACTATTTCAAGGAAATAGTGGCTCTGGTCTAGAAAACCGAGATTAACAGCCATGAGGATCTGTTACACTGACCACGTGACACCCTCTATCCGCTAAAGTTGGCACTAACTTCACCGACAAGAGGCGGTTGCTCAGTCGATTTTGTTCGCTTGCAGACTACAGGCCACGGAGTTTTTTTGCTTCATCCACTTCTTAGAGTGCAAATTTTCACAACCTCAAAATTCCCACAAATATCTGTATCCAGAGTTTTAGTTTAGAACTCTGTTGACTGAGGGCAGGTCAAGTATAAGAGAAACTGTATCAAGCATATCAGCAGCCATGTGGGAGCAGTCTGCACAAGTACTGCACTCCAGAGGGGAAGTCAACTGACCAAGGCCAGAAGAAGAGAGTTCTTTGGTAGATATCAAGAAGACTTCTGGGAGAGAGTGCGGTTGAAGAGATCATCAGGCATACCTAGTCAAGTTTCTACATGTGATTAAGTACCTCTCCAAGCTGAATAAGTGAAAACTGAGAGAACAAAGACATATGTTGGCCATTCAAGACAAATACTGTAAAGGCGTGTTGGACAATTCTACCAAATGGTATGGAAACAATGCTTTGTTAGTGAAGAGGTACCAACAAGCAGACAGAGAGCTGTAGAGACAATGGGAAATTACTCACTCTGTCCATTTTGTTTTGGCAAATTAGGTCACTTTGTATTTGGATGGGAGATACAAAAAAATATTTTGAAGTGTTAAAAGTCCATAAGAATAGTCTTAAAAATTGCGAAAAATGTTAGTATTCAACAAAGAAAGCTATGAAGCAGTCAAATGGCTCAGACAAGGAATATCTTAAGCAGCTAAGCAACAATTAACGCTTCAAGGAAGACGCTGTAGCACAGAAATTAAGTCAGATGAGAGACATGAGATACAAGCAAACTTAATCTACATGACATATACAACTTACAATCTGCTGCAGTGAAGTTTGGCAGTGAGTCATAGCTTTTCTCCTGCTCCATTATATTTTCCATCATTGAAATGTAATACTGAAACGGTGTCACACGCAGCCCTTTCACTGCTACATCGGATAAGTGGTAAGGATACAGCATGAGATTCTCTCTGCTGTAAACCAGTAGATCTTCATAGTATCGCTGCTCATCTTTACGTACAAATCTCACAAGATTACCACGGTACCGCAGCTGATTCTTTATGCTAAAGTTCACAATATATTTTTCATATTCCTTTTGTGAGTTACCCAGACTCTGAAATACATCAAAAAACAATTTTATGTGTCATATTCCTGAACTTGAAAACTGTCTGACATGCACTGTCATATAAATTCTCTCCAAACTTTATGCAGAATTAAAATGGTGTTGATGTTTACTATGACTCAACAGCCGAAGGCCGCGCCATAGCTCAAGTGGTTAGTCGCTGGCTTCGCACTGCGGCGGCCCAGGTTTGATCCCGGGTCTGGTCAAGTGGGATTTGTGGTGGACAAAGTGGCGCTGGGACGGGTTTTCTCCGAGTACTTCGGTTTCCCCTGCCAATCTTCATTCCACCAAATTCTCCATCATCATAATCACCCGGGAAAGTACAATAGCCTAATTAGTGGCCTCCGTGCCAAGTGGACCCAGTTGGACTCCACCCCCCACTAAGCGAAATGACTCAACACCCACATAAAATAAAGTGAACCCATGCTAACATAGTACAAGATTTGAGTGAGTATGAATATTACTGTCTTCTGGTATGTGACACCATATAATGTGGTCTACCTTAAAAATGGAAGCGGCAGGTTCCATCAAATGTTGGTATCTTTCTAATAGACAATATTAAATCAAACAGGCTGGTCTAGAAGTAATGCTAAACACTTGTATTTGGGAGGTACTCAATTTGAATCTTGGATGGGACAATGGCTATCCTGACTAAGAATTTTAGTGGTTTTCCTGAGTCCCTCCAAACAAACGCTGGGAAACTACCTTGATTAGGCCACAATCGCTTCTTTCTAAATCCTTTCCAATTTATCATTCAACTTATTATCATATCATTCAATGCCATACAGTTCAGACACTAATAAAAAGTAAAAGTATCCCTGTAACAGGCGGTGGAGGCCCATAGGGTTGTGAGATGTTAAGGTTCCCACATTTTCTAGACAATTGGCTCATAGAAGGCAGTAAGTTTGTGAGCTTTACATGCCTGCCACCCTTTAGCCCCAGTAACATTCCAAGAATATTCCTGGTACTCATTTCTGTTAGAAGCTGAGTTGACCCCAGGGCCATAGTGCGGCTGGAAGGATTAGGTAAATTGAAAACAAAATCAAATGACCTAATTGGGATTCAATCCAGCAACCTTCCAGCTTATAGCATTGTGCCTCAACCAACTACGCTACCACGTGCCCCCTCCAGACACTAATAGTGTCACAAATTATCCCAAAACGAAAATAAATGGCATCAAATCCCAGGTGAGAGCAAGCTTCTTAACCTTGTCTTAAGCTATCCTAAGAAAAAATACACATCTCTTGCAGAAATACAAATGTCTGCACACATACAAGAACATGAAAGAATATAATTAATTCCCTCTTTGTTACTATAACTCCATACATCTATCAACAAATAACTACACCTAACATGTTGGAAGTGAAGAAGGAAAAAATAACAGGGAATGCAATAATAAATCTAAACCTAACAGAAAAATGTTAAAGAGACCACTCAACATTAAAAAGCTTCTTCATATTTTATTATTTGCGGCAAGCAAATGTAATCTGACAACAAAAATGATAATGATTTTATTATATTATCTGGGCAATAAATACACGTCTACTTTTAAATCTATCAAATGGCATTATGTCTCAACTGCTGAGATTAGAAAGATAATCAACTCTTTGAAGGCCAAGTCTTCACATGGTTATGATGAAATTAGCACTAGAAATTTAAAAACAAGTATGCCATATATAACTTCGCCACTAACTTACATTTGTAATCAATCCCTTGCCCAGGGAACGTTTCCAGACAGAATGAAATTTGCTGTNNAGAATGAAATTTGCTGTGGTTAAGCCAATTTTCAAAAGCGGTAATAAATATGAACCAGCCAACTATAGGCCTATTTCATTATTGTCAACCTTTTCTAAGGTTTTTGAAAGGGTTATATATAATAAATTGTATGAGCATATAGACAGTAATCATATACTGGACAATAATCAATATGGTTTTAGACCTAATTCATCTACAGAAAAAGCATCTTTCAAATTAA